TTTTTTTTTTTTTTGTCCTTCAAAAAGTCTCTTGTACAGTTTTGTAAGTAATTATATCAAACAGAATGATTAATCTAAAGACTTTTTTCATGACTTAGTCTCTCATTTGCATGCAAACTTCTCATCTCATTATTTGTTTTCTTTTTTGACTTCTTTTTGGTTCTTCTTTTTCCAAGCTGAGATTAATCCGTACACTAAAATATTTCCTATGAAACAGACATGTTTGACAATCTTTGCCTGTGGCTGTTGAAAATAGCCTCAACTTTAAAGTGCAAGTATAGTGGTAAAAAGTGTCCAATAGTCAACAAAATTGAATTGGGAAAGTTGTACTAAACTCAATCGAGTTATTACCGTTGGATCAGATACGCTCACAGCCATATCGGTTAAGAGTTATTACCGTTGGATCAGATACACTCACAGCCATATGGGTTAGAGATATTACCGTTGGATCAGATACACTCACAGCCATATGGGTTATTTGTTCTTGGCCTGGGAAGAAAAATTTTGAACTACATTAATGATTAGAGTATGTATGGGTTAAGAGAGTGAAAAGTACAGAAATATAAGGGGTGAAAAAGCACAGTTATCAGAGAGACTGGAGAAAAAGGGATTCACTTTTGTAGGGCATTTTTCAAGTATTTCTCAAATATGCCCAAACTGACCAATAATTTTCCCAGCCGGTGACTGCATTGCAGTCGAGTTTTTCGAATCTGAGCGAATATATTTATGTGTTTTGATCCAACGATAAAAAAAACGATCAAATCCTCCACCAAGGCCCCAATAGGCCAATCCCATTCTACTAGAATTGAGGGAACATATTGTTTTGACATTTTTATCTATCTTATCAAGATATATATAATCCTTTTCCTTTCAAACAAATTCAAGAAGACATAAACAGAGCAAAAACCAGTCTCACAAATCAACAGAGACAGTGAAAGAACACTGATCTAAGGTAACAATCAGCAGCAAACAACTCTAGATCACATTTCATTAATTTACATTAATTTCACAAAGTAAAAAGCCATAGGCAACAACACAAACCATCCCTTATATAATCAAACATAAATATATATAAATATATATATATACCACAAATCATCCAAAACTTACAATTTAACCATCAACACCACGATCCACAATCCAAAAAAAAAAAAAAAAGATAATTAAAAACATTCATATTTATAAAACATCTATATAAACCTCTCAAGGAGATTGAGGCCAATCGTAACCCGCATCAACCGCATCCACATCGTCGTAAAACCACATCTCAACATCTTCCATCGACCCCCCATCATCATCATCATGGCCCATCATCCCACCATACACATCATCATCATCATCATCATCATCATACCCATACCAATCATCATCATCATCCTCATCATCATCACCATTCAAACCTTCCCCCGCCACAAAATCCCACGCCAAATACCCCGAAGAACCCGAAAACTCCGAGCAAACATCGTAACAATCCACGACAACGGGCCCCATGACCCTAAGCCCCATGAACCCCTTCAAAAACCCCTCCTCCAAATTCACGTCCCAACACCCACGAACATCGAGCAATTCAAGATCCTTACAATTCTTGATTATCTCCACAACACTATGAGTTCGAACGAGCAAGTAAGCAATCTCGAGGTGGCGAAGTCGAGGCATAGTGGCCGCCACCGCAAGTGCCTCGTCATCTTGGGAAGGCTTACCGACCACCTCAAGCGGGTGCATTACGCGTCGAAGGCTCGTCAAGGACCTGCAGGCTCGGCCCACAGCCTCGAGCCCGCGGGCCCCGACCCGTATGCAGTAGCTGAGGTCGAGGGAAGTGAGGGACGATAGTGAAGTGGCCGCCCGAGCCATGATTGGGTCGGTTATCTCGCACCTAGGGAGGCGTAGGGCCCGCAGGGATTGAGCGCTTTTTTATTTCCGGGGCAAAATGTGTATAGAGAAGTAATTTTAGTTAAAAGTGTTTGTAATCTAAAGAATGCAGAAGAAGAAGAGTAGCAAAAATAGCAAAAAGGGCTTTCATTTTGCATTTCAGTGATAACTTTTTAGAGAAAAAATGATCCCAAGATTGAATTTTTCAGAAAGCAGTGTAAAGTTAATGACAAACAGCAGCACAAAAAAGTAGCTCTTACTGTTTTTCTATGAACAAAAAGCTTTGGTCATTGGAGAGACTTGAAACAGCAAGTTTTCTCAGTGAACCACAGCTTCTTGTGATCAGCATTTCGAGCATTCGGTCGAGGGTTTCGGGCTTGCAGCCTTTGCTCCACTCCTCGATGTCTATCTCTTGCCAACAGTAAGGCCCCTTTACAACTTTTCCCCATGATTTGCAAACTCTTGGCACCACGGTTAGCATCTCGAGTAGCGTAAGATTCTTGAATATTAATCCAAGTGCATCGGGTATCAATTCTTCCCATTTTCGAAATTTGTCACATGCCTCCATTTTGGTATAGATTTTTGTTTACCCTTCAAAGTTGAATTCAAAAAATAATAAGAAAATGTGTAAGAACTGAACAAGAAGGTTTAAGGGAATCAAGGTTTAGAGTTTAGACTAAAAATAAGATTTTTTTTTTTTTTAATTTTATGTTGGCCATTTTTTATGGAATTCATAAGCATAGTTCAAATCAGCATCTAAAAAAAAAATATCTCCATTCAAAAGCCTTTTAATCTAGCATCATCTCATGAAAAAATCTAAAAAATGAGCTAAATTGAAGAACAAGTCAACTTCAAAAGAGAAATTCCCACTCAATTTCATGAAAANNNAAAAAAAAAAAAAAAAAAAAAATTATCTCCTTGTTTATTTCCAAATGACAAGTCTCAAAGATAACTGTTACCTTAAGCCAGCAAACAGACAATGCATATCATATGCATCTAATGTAACTAAATGTGAAGCAGCAGATAATGAGCAAGACAACAGCTCCAATGGCGTGGGCCCACATCAATTACACAACCAGAATTTGCTAAAATTGTGCAGATCAGCCATGGCAAAGAAGCAAAACAGACAGCTATAAGCCAAAATGAACTAAAACTACATAAGACATATGGAAATCAGAAATTTTTTGACAACCTCATCACAGAAACACAAAAGGGAAAGTAAACAACATATGGAAATCATAAATCTTGATAACCAATTTTGAGAGAAAGAGAGAGAGAGAGAGAGAGAGAGAGAGAGAGAGAGAGAGAGAGAGAGAGAGAGAGAGTGAGAGAGAGAGAGAGACTCGAGCCAAGCTAGCTCCTTTCACAAGAAATTTTGCAGCTAGCAGCAAACTAGTTAACAGAGCAAGACTCTCAGATTGAAATGAAGTTAAAAGCATGAACAAGATTGGATTTTTTTTTTTTCATATTCATCAAAGGCCCCAAATATACAAAATGGAAAATGGAGCATAAAAAAAAATCAAGATTGGATTTTTTTCACATACACTAAGGTCCCAAATATAGAAAATGAAGAAAAAAATGAAGAAAATGATAGTAGAGTGCAGAATAATAAAAAAAATTACTCTTGGATCTATGAAAAAACGCAGACCGGTTTATCCGCCTGAATTGAAGGGTCCTTGAGAGTACATTCTCTTCTTCCTATCTCTCTGTTGTCCCAGTGAGAGAGAGAGAGAGAGAGAGAGACAGAGAGACAGAGAGAGAAAAATAAGGGTGTGTGAGTGTGAATGTGATGCGAAGAAAAAAAAAACTAAGTGGGCAAGTAACTATAAGAAGAAAACAAGAAGAGAAGCAAAAAGTTAGGCCGTATCTTGTGTCTGTATTGTTTTCTCACTGATGAGTGAAATCAAGATTCTTCTTCTTTTCTTGTGGTTGTCCTCCAATATCTATTTTGAGGAATCGACTTGTAGTTGCCCATTACGCTTTTGTATGTCGAACGTTCCTTGTACCCAATTTTGATATATATATATTTACATTTAACGATAAAAAAAAAGTTCTTCTTTTCTTTTTTTTTTTCTTTCTTACAGTTTCTCTTTTTTCGCTTTCAGTATTTCACCCCCATTGAATTATTATTTTCATTTTATATTTTTTTTGTATTTTTCAAGAAATTGTGTTTTCATTCACCAAAACTATTATTAATTCATTTATTGTCAAATTCAAAAATGTGCTATATGTATTTTTCATACCATAACGGCATATCCATACTCAAGAGGTCTAAAATAATGGGTTGAAGAAAGATAGTATTTTGAAATAGAATTTTTAAAAAAGTTCCATTGCTCATAAACCGAAATCCCATCGTTGAATTTTCATAAGATTCATTTGAAAAACAAAAAAAAAAAAAACTCATCTTGTAAGCTTTTCAGTGATATCTTTCAGATCTAAAATATGATGGCCTTGTTTGGTAGTTAGCGGTTAACTGTTAGCTGTTAGCGAATTGTGATATTTGTTTTGACCAGCGGATTGTGTTAGTTGTTTTGACCAGCGGTTAATTTTAGCGGTTTCGTAAAATATTGTTTGGTAAAATTAACGGATTGATTTTGAAAAATATATTTGACACTATTAGTTTGATAAAATGATTTATATAAATAATTCTAAAGTATTATACATCAATTATACTCATAATTATATTTAAAAAGAAAAAAATGATATGATTAAGTAATTTTAATTAAGGGTCGTATCTATTAAAAAGTAAGAAAAAAATGACGAATTAAAATATTAAAAGTAGCAAATATGAATTACTATTGAATATTAAATTGATGTTTGAAAAACAAATACAAAATTAATTAATGAGATTAGTTTTTATTTGAAGTAAAATAACTCAAGAAATAGAAAATGCTCACTTGTTCTCATTAATTAGGCCAATAAATATTTTATTAAGACAAACGCTGATAGGAAACGCTCCCTTCCATAGCGTTTCCATTTTGGTTGTTTCATATAAAAAGCTATGCAACCAAACATCTAGTTAACATTATTTTGGCGTTTTTAGCTTGGTCAAATCCGCCAAAAAACAAACATGCCCGATATCTTAATCATTGAAAAATAAAATAAAATATTGTAATTCATGTGTGTCACCTACATTCTTCGCGATCGATTACGGACTAATCAATCAGTTAAAATTATTGATTGTATACATGCTTACTATATAAGGATAATATGTTTGTTATGTTAGAGTTTGTTTGTTTACTCTCTGAAATCAACAATTACTGTTATCATCCCTAGTTTATATGTTTGTTTTGTTGGAGCTTAGTATAAGGTGAATATGTTTTTTTCTGTATTTGCTCATTTTTTTGTTTTGTTTCAATTTTAGTCTTGCAACTCTTTTTATATTTGGACCGTATGGAGGAAAAAAAAAAAAAGTCAAGCCAGGTCGAGGCGGCCTTCATTGACTCGTGGCAGGGCACGGGCCTGATGTTGCGGGGCAGGTCCGAGTACTAAACTACCCGGTCCGACCTGCCCATTGCAATCCCTACAAAAACCTGAAGCAATTATAAAGTGCGATGCAAAATGATAGTTAATTAAATTGCAAAGTTTTTATATCATTTTAGATTTTAATATTAGTGAGAAAAAATAATTATTTTTATAACTTTATTATATGATAATTTGTAAAAATAAAAAATGAATACTTTTGGAGGTTAAATATTTTTCCCATAAAAAAAAAATATCTGTGAAATAAAATAAAATAAAAAAAAAACCCAACAAATAGCTAAAATTACCTAAAATAACTGCCTTTTGATTCAATGAGAATGGCCTATCGTAGATTTCTCTCTCTATGAGGGGTGCGATTTTTCCTCCTTGGAAGCTGGATTTCCTCATCTGCAGGCATCGATTCACCTTGCATTTATTACCGTTGTAATTTCTTATCTCCATCTCCCTTCTCCCCGTTTATTTTCCCCTTATTCCCCTTTCCTAATTGTTGTTCCTCTTCCTAGGGTTTTTTTCTCTTCCTCTTGCTTTCTCCTGTCCCTTTGGGTTTTGTTTTTGTTTTTGTTTTTTGTTTTTGTTTTTATTGTGCAGGAGACCATCTTGATCCTCTACCTCCTCTTGATCGAGGTTCACTGTTCACTCATGGAAGAAGATATATCGGGCAAACTCAGATCTTTTTCTCTCTCAGAGACAGAAGCTGAGATTATACCTATCGCAGTCAACGACATCAAACTAAGTTCGGATGAGTGCAACCGCAGCCTTTTCGGGAAAATTATAGGCTCCAAACGTGCTCACTTGATGGGCCTAAAGCGTACCCTAGCTCATATCTGGCAAATCCGAGCAGGAGTGACAATCAAAGAGTTAGATCAAAACTATTTCCAGTTCCTCTTTGCTGAAATTGAAGATAAACAAAAAGTAGCTAAAGGGAATTGCTGGACTTATGAAAATCAATATTTGGTGTTGAAGGAATGGAAAGAAGATATGCATGCGTCCCACCCAGACTTCTCAGAAATGGATATCTGGATTCAAGCGTGGAAGATCCCCCTAAATTGGATCTCCACAGATGTAGGCCTGAAAGTAGGCAAAGCCTTTAAAAAGGTTAAAGATGTGCAAATACCACAGGGTGGAACTCTTGCAGGGAAATGTCTGCGGCTGCTAGCTACCATCAATCTTAATCAGCCCATCCCGCGTTGTGCCAATCTGCAACTCGGGGATAAAAAGATAATGGTTGAATTTAAATACGAGAAGCTGTTTGGGCTATGCTACTATTGCGGCATACTGGGACACTTGGATAAGAGTTGCGCTAAAAGAGCTTCAGATATTGATCAGTCCACCTTTTCGGAAGGCAATTATGGGGATTGGCTCAAAGCTACTGACAACTATTCCTTCTCAGGGGGCTCTGCCTCCTACCCCCAACCAGATAACCCAATAAACAGCTCCACTACCCAAAAACACATCACCGATTCCCCTCCCCTGCAATCTCAAACCCTCCACTCACTCTCAAATCAAGCAGATCCTCCGCCCCGCGTCATCACCTTATCTACCAAATCTCCCTCCATCTCTGATTCCTCAGAAAACCTGCATAAAGTTTCCTTAAAATTTTCACTCTCTCCCACAGGTATGGAAACTGACCCCACTCCTACACCAACAACCCCTACTCCTACACCATCTCCTCAATCTCATACACCAATCCCTACACCGCCTCTTGCTGCCCTTAACCCTTATCCTCAATCTCCAGATAACTCCTTTTGCCCCTCCATAACTACTATCAAGCCAAATCCCAGAAGCTGGACTAGGAAAAACCCATCCTCATCTCACACCATACCAGACCAGCAACATCATCTGATTCTTAGTAAGAAAAGAGCTCTCAACCTCATTGCCAACTCTCCTGATCAAGAAAATGAGGCATCAATAGATGACCTCTCCACCAACCTGAATCCCCAATCTCCATTTCCTAAGAAGCAGAAAACTCAGACTGAAGAGGTGACGGAGGCCAGCCCCAAATGGCCCCACCCCCATCAATGAAAGTCATATTTTGGAACTGTAGAGGGCTGGGTGGGCCCTCTACAGTTTCACAACTTAAGGAGT